ATATATATATAGAGTAATGATCCTATGAGATCCTCCCACACCCATGTGTGTAGGACCTCAAAGGATCCCATTAAATTTGGCACAGATCTCTAGAAAAATTATTAGATGGGTGTAGGACTTGACTTTTCTAGATTTGTATCAAAATTAATGGTGATCCTTTGGGGTCCTACACACATGGGTGTGGGAGGGTCTCACAAGGTCATTTCCCATATATATATAACTTCATTTATTTTTCATTTTTTTGAGGAAACAGTTGCCTGGGCTTCATGGATATTTCTTTCCAATTTCCAATATGAGGTAGCTATTAGACCTTAGTTGCAAGAACCTCATACTCCCACTCCAAAGCTTGATCTACAATTTCTTTTGAATTTAATTGAGTATACGCTACATTAGAAGTACACCTACTATCTGGTGAACATAAATACCTCTATCATCATCAATCATGGCAATTTGGTCATGCAGCCCAAGTATATGCATCTCCTTCTGACTCACATCTTCACTACCTGTTATGAACGTCCAAATATACATTTATTTTCATAACTAATAATGCATTTAAACTCAAGACTATTATCCTGAACTAATGGTGCATTTAATAAGAAAGATCAGATCTATAACTTTTAAAGACATCAATACTCAGGAAGCGGCAAATTCGACAGGATAATAAAGAAAACAGATAAAAAGTCCATGAGATGAAATTTCAATTGCCCACAAGAAAAGCACCTTCAATGGAATGCAAGCAGATAATGCAACATATGAACCAAAAATCTTGCTGTTGAATGTATCTACAAATGGTCAAGCTACAAGAAAATAGATTAATCCATAAATAGGATAATATTTTGACCGTATCTGGTAGCTATTTGTTTGTGAAGTTAATTGAAATTAAATTTAAATGCCTTCAGCATTTCATGTGTCATCAAGATCCGCTTCATGCATCTCTAGGGTCACGAGGCTTCCAAGGGTTGACAAAGATTACTCCATGTCAAAATTTATAAACCATTAGAAAAAAGTCAACAATGAGACCATGCTTTCTTGTGTCCTCAATTAGAAATACTAATCCACAAATATTTCTCAGATGGCAGGAACAACAAAGATTCAGAGCTCATTCAGTCATGGCACCAACAAGCTGAAACCCAACCAATTTCAGTCATGACAAATCCAGGGAACTGAGTGTTATTACTTCAAAAAAATGCTTAACATCCTAAACATGAACTGCATATCTCACGCGTAGGTGCCAAACTCAGTATTTCATATTTCCATTCCATTAAATATGTGAAAGGAATCTTGAAACTGTTGTTTTTTGATATAACTGGTAGAGGGATTCAACATTTTTATGGGAACTGCATGAAGTAAGACTCATCAAAATGCATTCAGCATTGGCATGCAGAAAATTTATTTGTCACTATAAACAATATCAATGAAAAGGAAAAATTATAATGTCCAATTGACGCTACCACAATAAAATGGTATTTAGACTCCCAAATGTCCTGTGGGCTCAAAGATCACCCACAATTGATGACACCTTGGAGAGCCAAAGGGCCTTGGCACCCTGCCTAGGCAGGCCCAGCCAGCTTGCCCAAGGTTGGGTCCTAGGTGGGCACCTAGCACCTCGGATAAGGCACCCATCTTGGATAAGGCACCCCTTTGCACGCACGCGCATGCATGTGTGTGCGTGTGAGAGAGAGAGAAAGTGAGAGAGTATGTTATGTATATGCATTGCATGCAAGAAAGACAGAAGAGAGATTCTATCACGTGTGTATTGTTCCACTCTCTCTTTGCAACCATTCGCTCTCCAGTCAACCAGTCATCTGTCCCTTGAAAGAGAATTTCTTTTTTGGTTTTGTGTGCGCATGTATGTGTGAGATGGGGGTGGTGAGTGGAGAGGGAGGGGTTGTGAGTCCATTATTTTTCTACTGACTTCAACAAATAACAAATCATCTCTCTCTTCCTTTCTCTCTCTCCCCCCACCCACCCACCCTCCCCTCCCCTCCCCCCCCACCCCCACCACACACACACACAAAAAAAAAAAAAAAATTGTGAAAACTTCCCCTCTTCTTGGCCGCCTCATGTGTGAGGCAGCCACCTAGATGCCACCTAACGCATTTTTATGCACTTGGAGTAAGACTATGAAATGCCACCTAGGTGCTGCATAACACTTAAAGTATATGAAACAAAGAATTTCATTAGACCATTTCAGTGATCAATCACCAAATAAGATTCAGTTTTCCACGTCCAACTGCTCTATGACACCAGGACTGTAGATTAAGAGAATGGTATTTCATTTAATGCATCAAACACATCCATAAAACATGGACCTGCAATCAGCTTGCGCTGAAATGGAGCTTAAAACTGTAATGGATGGAGCCCATATGAGGCATTTTACAAAAAACATTGTAATTGTGAGGAAAGTAAACCATTATCCCTGGTAGTATGGTACATACCACTCCAAAGGGCAATCCACCATTCAATTCTGATGAAGGGACAATATGAATTAATTGGAGTTGGGCCCACAGGGACAACAGCCTAGGTACAGTTAATCTCTACCAACGGTCACAGCAAACAGATGGTGGATGCCCCTCTGGCCTCCAGTATATCATAGCCCAATCAGGAATATGGTATACAACCTTTCACTGATAAGGCAGAGTTCCAAGTAACCTTAAAAGTATTCAAGACAGCCATTGTCATGAAAAAACTGAGTAATAATGCAACATAGGTATCATCAAGTACCTGAAGCCGCTGAAGACTGCTCTCTATGAGAATTTGAAGCATCAGATCTTGAGACATCATTTGCAGTCCCTTTCTTTGATAAATGTATAACTATTTTAGGCCGTTTCCCTCCCTCAGGAGCGCTGGCAAGCTTTCCAGAAGCATCCTCGAGATCCACAACCCGTGATTTGGAGCTCTTAATTTTGACTATTTTAGGGTTTCTTGTATCACTGTGTACTGCTGCTCCTTGAACAAAGACCTTGCTTCCAATACCCGATTGACTGATTGGGGAATTTTCTGATTCATTCCCAATGCTTAAGGTATTTGAAGGCATAGAACCCGCCGCACTAGCAACTTCAAGCCTTGAACCATCAACCTTATGATCTCCCAAACTGTTCTCCGCATGGGCCCCAAGCATTTCATTCAAACCTTCAGTTTTTCCATTTGATTGTGTCTGTGAAGTCTTTTTCTTTGCATATTTTTTGCTCAGTAGTCCATTGTTTGAGTACTTCCCTTGTTCCTTCACACTTTTCAATACTTTCTCAGATATGCCCTTTACAGAAAACTTTAAAGTTCTTCCAAATTCACCTTTCGATACAATATGTGGGTGCTGCTCATCATCTGACGAAGGAGAAAGAGGTACACGGTCTTCATGTGTAATTAAACCAGCAGCAGCTCTAGAGTTGGCAATCTGATCCTGTTCAGCATCATCTCTCCTCCTCCAAAGCTCTTGAACAGCATCATCAAGGTCCCTCACCTGTGTATCACGCAAAAATGTAAATTGTTATCTGCAACAACTGCCACTTTTTTAATGGAAATGATAATGAAATCCAATGGACAATGGAAATCCATAGTCCAATCATTCCAATGAGATTGGTCCACCAAACCGATGACAGGTGATGCTGACAGTAGAAACAATGGGTTATGGCCTGCTCTGATGGGTCCCAGTCTCTCTCCATCACATCCATCATTTCATTGCATGGTGACGACCCAATGGAGTATGGTTTTCATAGTCCACTGTATTGCAGAACACTTTCCATTATTGTAAAAAAGATTATTCCTTCATCCAACATTCACAAAAAGGGAAAATAAGGAACCTCGTAACAGTCACCACGGCAACAAGCACATTTGTAGTACAAGTTTCTATCTGTTTGGAATTCCTGGTATTTTTCATCACTGTAAAACATAAAAACCTTATTAATGAATTCCATAAAGAACAGAAAAGAACAAAGATATGAACAAAAATTTAAAGCTTGACGAGAAAGCCCACATTTCGTGTGGCAGTTCAAGTACTAACAGTAAAAGATTGCAAGAAAACCAATTATCTGAAACAGATTGTTTTTTGAGTGGCCGGAGCAATAAAGAGTCAACATTAGAGCATTTAATAAGTAAAATTCAGTTGACAAGCTTTATGAATGTTGGAGCCTCGTGCAGGTAAATATTCAGCCTTCACTAAGACAATCTAATGCTAATGATAGGGCAGGCTTTCACTTTTAGTGAAGAATAGTAGGGAACGGTAATATTGCTTCAAAAAAAGTAGCATATATATATGTATTTATATGCATGTTAATAAAAGTGCTATGTACAGGCATGTGCATGGGAAGTCAGGTATTTGTATTGTATGCACATGCCAGAGCAAACATGTGTAGGTGAGAAATATTGAAATTTACTGGTTTAACAATAGTTTTAAAATATTATTTCACCAGTATCCATTGGAAATTACGCTACCAGCACTAATAAGGAAAAATGAGAAAAATGTGATTTCATTGAGGCAAACCTGCCCCATTCAAAATCACCCCCCTCAAAAAGTGTCTGGGAGCTCTCCAAACAACTGCAATCTGACAGTAGATAAACATCTAAGAAGAGCAAATCCAACTCGTCTATAATTATTTTTGTTTGTCAAAAAAACTTGAAACCCCAGCACGCATGATGAACTGTCAATTCATCATCACTATTTCAAACAAAAAAATAGTAGATCCGTGAAAGAATGTTCAAACAAGAAGAAATAGTTCGAACATAAGAAACCAAAAAAATGGAAAAATTGGGACAAATGTCAAGAAACCATAATATATATGTATGTATGTATATCAAACAACTGCAACAAAGACCTAAGGTTACAATTAAACCTGATTCCATCACAATGGCAGTGAACCCAACGCCCACAAGCATCACAACAAACCATTGGTGTGGATTCTGAATCCCTGTAAACCTGTAGATCAACAACCAAAAAAAAACAAAACAATTCAGGGAAGTCAAATTAGACTGGCTGAAATTACCTCACTATTTTGCGAGGTAGGTGGCAACTACCTTGTGATTGCCAGTATGCATATGTAAATAAACAAAGAAGCACATGAACAAAGGGGGCCAAACTATGTATAAACTTCATATGAGCCCACAAAAAAGAAAAAAATGACAATACAAGTAAAACATAGAAAGATGTGAACATAAAGGGAATCTTGTATGCATAATTCAACAACTTCATAAGTGAATGAATCAAGTGAAGTGTGAACCTGGTCTATAAAACTAATAAAAATAGTTGCGCAGTCATAGAAACCATCAGGAGCATAGTAAACACTACCTTCAAACATACTGGGCAGTACTTTCCCTTAACAAAGAGCCTCCCACATGCATCACAGCAAGTATACCCTAAAAACCACCTGCAGATTGAACATAGAAAAAAAGTTGTGTGCGGATAGGGAATTTGAAGAAATATAGAGATTAGCAATCAAATAACTAAAAGCTATACATGAATCATATTCAACCATATAAGCATCAGCTCTCTATGACATCAATAAGGCAAAAAGTCAATCAAGGCTTCCTCAGATTCTCATAGATGTATCCCCAAGTCACTTGGGATTCATGCTACATTTTTCATTACTTCTGAGAGAGGAGGCTAGGATTTGAAGGACTCTGTACTCATTGGGCTAGTTGATGATCTTCGTAAAATTATAGGATGTAAGAAGGCAAACTCTAGGTAGATTAAGTAGGTAATTACAAATCTTATCACTCAGAATTCAAGAGGGGTTTTTTGAAATGAGTTTTGGATGGGACCTTGGTAAACCCCAGTTAGCTAATCCACAGCTACCTAGTTTCAACTAAAACAGGACAACCAGCCATTTTTATAAAGGGAATAAGGAAAGGCATGTAACCACAGTGACTACAATGTTTGGTCTTATAATCCCGAGGAAAGGTCCCATTACCAAGCATACCTAATTGAAAGCCAGAACTCCAAAAGCTGTATCACCAGGCAATAAGTGGGCTAGGGCCATAATGCAAGCATCCTTGGCATTCCATCATAATGGTCGAATCAACAAGCAAGATGCTTAAATGGATGTGGCTTCATCATAGTCGTTTTTATTTCGTGTTTCTCTAAATGGGGATGTCGATGAAGGGCACATTTTAACTTTGGATGAAACAATTGTTTAGAGTGCCGCATTTCTGAATGAGTATTGAATATTATACAGCTGGTTTATTGAGAAGAAGTTGGGCCAAAGAGTGAATTTGAGAAAAACAAAGATTATGTTCTTTATCGGCTCTAAAAGAAGTTCACATATTCTTAAGGTGATGAAGGCCTGCCTCATGTTTACCCTTATAACCAATGTTTAAAAAACCGGATCGGTGACCCGAATCGGTCTCACCCATACCCGTGTCCGATCGGTGGATCAGTAGATCGGATCGTAGAATTAGATGAATCGGCAATTTTTGTCCCAAAAAGTTTTCCAAAAATCACTAGAAATCTCTAAAAATAGTCTTCTTTTAGTTTCTAAAATAAATTAGGAGTGGTGCATTATGTACTTTCATTACTTTGAAAAATAAGTGAATACTGAGACGTTATTTTCCTGTTTGGATGTGTGTATAATTATTAATTGTAATATAGTGTTATAATATTGCATCAAAATAATTTAAAAAAATTAAAAAACACTTCCATATTATAAGATAAAAATAATAATTTTCCAAGTGAAATTAGCATCACATCAAAGTATCAAACATTTATTAATTCGCTTGACTCACCCAAAATTATCACAACTTAACTAACTACAATATTATATACTGCTAATGAAATTGTTGGTTTATAATTTTATATTTTATAATTATTTTACTATACAAATAAAAAAAAATCTAAAATGTCTTATAATATCATCTAATTCAAAAATCTTATTTACAACTATAAGAAAAATAATACATTACATAATTTATAATATAAATAAATTGATAAATAAAATACAAGATTTGGTTATCAATGTATAATTATCAATTATAATATTATAATAAACATGATTAAAAATTTATTAGAAAACACTTCCATATCATATTTTGTAAATTATAAATAAATATAGTTAACATAAAAAGAAAAATATTTTTTTTTAGACAATTTCATTTGATGGACGTCCTTCTAAGAGAGAGAGAGAGAGAGAGAGATGTTATTTATAGACCTTGCGCTATTTATAAGCATTTTTGCTATTTATAGAAATGTGCTTTATAGACCAATTCACTTTATACTATAAATGTCCTTATAAGAGAGAGAGTCACAAATATATTAGATGCCCCCCTTTTTTTCTTGAGCAGCAAAATATAATCTAAAATATTTGTGGGCTCAAATATAGAGTAAACGTCCCTTATATGAGAGAGAGAAAGAGAGATAGTGCTTATTTTAGCACACGCTCCTTGCACTAGCATTTCTCACTTAAACCCCACATGCAAAGCGAACAAGTTTTAAGAGCGAATAAGCATAAAACCTATTGGTAGCTTTTTCATATATATGTTAGGTCATTAAGATAGCTTTTTCACATATATATGTATAGATATATATGTTTGGTCATTAAGAGATTAAAGGGGATATGGATCAATCAGAAAGGGATAAATAACCGCTCACAAGCATGAGCGTTATAGCAAATCTCAATTGATTTTGCCCTGAATAAGGGGAAGCCTCACTTCTAAGAAAAAGCGTGGGCATAAAGAAAAGGAGTGATAGATAGACTATGCTCAAAATGTCCCACATCAAAGATTCATGGGGAAAATGAAGTTATAAACCAAAAGTCATGAAGAATTAGGCACGCATGTAGCAAGTGAATGTGAGTGGGCCCGTGAGTGCTGCCGACTGAAAAGCAGTGAAGTACATTGTGGGGCCCACTTTTTAAAACAAATTTAAGAAAGATTTGCATCTCAAAAAAATTCAAAACGATCGATGACGTCATAACTGATTCGATGATGTCGTCATAATCAGTGTTTTGTCTTTAGAACCGGCCTGATCCCATTTTTCTAGTAGATCCAGAGCGGCTCTACCGATACCCCATCTAGATTGCCCAATTCCGAATAGGATCACCAATTTTTCAAACACTGCTTCTAACTACCAAAGCTCTCTTAGGACGGGCAGATCATAGGAATGGTCTTCCGTACGAGGCTTGAAAACGTTTATTGAAGTTCACCTTACTTCTAAGTACAAGGTTTGAAAAGGTTTCTCAAGCTCTAAGGAGGACACAAGGAAAAGTCCGAAAATGAAGTACTGAGAACCCATCAAATAAAGTAAATCACTTGAATCATTGCATAGACATTCGTGTGCCTAGATGTTCACACAGATACTAACTTTTCATTTTACTTTTTTTTTTAGTCTAAAACAATTCATCCTAACAGATAATTCACACAGTTTATAGCCAACAGTGTATGACCACTATGAGACACATTTCATAACATAAAAGACAGCATTCTTAGTTTCATTATAAGTCATTGCTTTCAAAAGAAAAAAGTAAAGAAGAGCACAAAATTAAAAATCCAATCAATACCTTGTACTTGAGCCACTTCCAGGAACAGTGGACCCACAACTGTGGCACCTCGTATGCTTGGGGCATAAATACGGCCCAGGGGTAACATTCTGTTTCGGTACAAAAGGTGATTTAAGATCCAATTCACAAACTAAATGTAATACTGAAAATATTTTATGAAAAAAATGCCATTCGCACCTTGTGTGGAGGTTGCTGACAATACGAATGGCAGGCAGCATCACATCGTTTACAGAACATTAACTTATTTGGATCTCCAGACCTTCTGCATACCTGGAAATTGGACACAGACAATATAATGAATCATTCATAGCCAAGTCATAAAATTAGTAAAAAACATCATATAGAGAAAAGGCTATAAATTAATGATAGCAGGATTTGAAAATTAATTATTGCAGATGACATCATCTAGATTAATTCTATCAGAAGTTCTATTGAAGTCTAAAGCAAGCATCCAAATGTTATAATTATGTTGTTGGCAGATCATTCTTTATGGGAAATCGACTACATATATTAAAGCAAGAGAGATCTGAAAGTTGCAACTAAATTCTAGCATATTTGAGTAAAATGTACTATATTTGAATGCTCAGACGAGTAATCCAAAATATTCTAGCCCCACCATGGCGCTTTCAAGTTTTGTGCCTTGCAACCAAATCACAGTTTGCAATTGAACTGTGTGTATGTGTGATAGAAAGATAACTCTTGCCCATATCTGAAATGCTAGACACCACCAATGCCACCTTACCAAAAAAAGTATATGATCTTCAAGAAAAAGGACCCTTAGAACTCCTAAGAAGAGACCCAATAATGCAGCGCAATAAGGTCCTGATTGCATAAAGGTTGTCTCCAAGGGTGAAGGGCAGTCGGGATGCATATAATGCCTCGTGAGGCCAAATGAAACCCACAAAATCACAGCATTAATAATTTCTACTTTGTCCTCAGTCATATCTTTTCGAAATATCTTTCCTATTTTCCCTCAAAAAAAAATTGAAGCATTAAAGACAAAGTCCTAAAGCCCCCTAAGAATTCAATCGGACTAATACCCATTTTACTATGAAAAAGGACAAAACTATGTGGAACATAGGTCATGTAGGCTCTCCAAAACTTGGAAGACAAAGCCTGGACCGGTCATTTTTCTGTGTCTACCCCACTTATTTAACCCAAACATCTGACTTATTAGGTAAGTACCAAACAAAGGGCCAACATCTAGGAAAATATTTGATAGCCAAGGCCCTATCAGGTGTTGCAGATATTGTAATAATATTGTAACCCCTTCTATTGGTGGTGATGACCAAACCAAGTATGGTATTTCAATAGTCCATAGGATAACAGTATAGTTCCCTTTTTTATTTCTTCCTTGTAAAGAAAACTACACCCATGACCTCCTCAGAACAGAGCATGACCCCAATGGTAGGTTCCACTCTCTCTTTATCACCATTTTTCATTTCATTTGATGGTGATGACCTAATGGAGTATGGTATTTCAACAGTCCATTGGATTATAGTTTCCCTTTTTAGCTGTTCCTCATAAAGAAAAATACACCCACTATAAAGTAATTCACTGAAACTTGACCATGCATCTGCTTGATCAAAAAATACAACTGAATGAAAACCAAAAATTAACTCAAAAGGACAACTTCCTGAAGCGATAAAAACACACCTCACAAATGCGGCAGGAGGCACAAACCCATGAATGCCAATCAAATAAATCTGGAAAAGGCAGATCATAATTGCAGTTTATCAGCAGAGGAACCAAAAGAGAAGTACATGGCAATTTAACGATATAATGATATCTTTATATCCACATAAACTTAGTCTTAACCTCTATGATTTGCCCAAGATTTCAAGCAGTTCCTGTGATACTTCTTGTTACAAGTTTTGCACGATAGCATCCTGGCAGCTCTACTACTCCCTTCACTTTCAGCAGAGAAGCACATCCGACACATAACCTTGACAGCAGAACCATCACGATCATCTCCATTTTGATCTTTGATAGAAGCCCCAGAAACATCCTGACACCCAGGAGACAAAACGTACTTTAATTATAAAGGTCATGCAACTTATCGTGAAGAAACTCAAATAATAAAGCTCTATAAGGAGTAATGAAGTGGTGCCCATGGCACATGGATCTCATCTCACAAGCTTCTTTGAAGTTTCTTTGACAAAATGATCTCATCTCACAAGCTTCTTAGAAGTTTCTTTGACATCTCATCTCACAAGCTTCTTGGAAGTTTCTATGACAAAATGCATGGATCCTCTCTCTCTCTCTCTCTCGACAAAATGCATGGATCCTCTCTCTCTCTCTCTCGACAAAATGCATGGATCCTCTCTCTCTCTCTCTCTCTCTCTCTCTCTCTCTCTCTCTCTCTCTCTCTCTCTCTCTCT